CTCTAACATGTGAAGAAGGAACTCTACAACGCATACTCCGTCCACTAGCTGGTTGATGTTACTATTTTTCACCTTTAAGGTTGTTGTATTTTCATTTAATTTTATAATTTTTGTTTTTACATTACCAAATCCACCTATTAATCATCTCGATAGAGATGGACTATATCTTATTCTATAATTAACATTAAATCAAATGGAATTTACCGTATTATCAGTGATCTTAACAGATCCAAAAATTTAAATTATAGACCCAATACGTATAGTCTCTGAGGATCCTACTAGGATAATATATATCCAGTAGTTTCCTGCTAAACGTCTAATGCCAACATATCAATTAGGACTAATCTATCTCCTTAAAAGAAATGCGGGCCATCCTTTATTAAATTATCACTTATCTTATTTATAATTAAGTATTAATAAAGGGCCATAGAAATTATTATTCTACAGCATAGATTTACTAGCATATAGTATAGAAATGACCCTATTTTCACAAATAGGACGGCATTATTTAATATTCTAAATAAGACGGTGGTTTAATCTTATTTAAAATTAGTTTATTAATTTTGTTTCGTTTCCCTCCTTAATCCCTCATTAAATTTTACATTTAACTACACTAATATAAAGACTTATTACATAAAAACTTGTTACAATTTAGTATAAATAAGACTTTAACCCTATTAACATTTTTAACTAGGTATTTTATTGAACTTTAGAAAGTCAACTTATTAAAAACCTCGCGGATCCGACCCAGATTATTAAATCCGTTCTGAAGAATAAAAATAATATTTATTGTTTATAAGTCGCCCTGTATCTAAATTTTTCACAATAGTTGGTCGACTTACCTCTATTCTATAATCAGCTGCAGCAGCATTAGCTGAAGGAAAAAAATCAATAAATTGCATGTTAGCATCATACACAAATATAGGAGTACCTTTAGCTTCAGACATTTTTAATTTGGTTTCTGTAGTATGAATTTTTCCAAAGAAAGGATTTTTTACACCATAAAATTTATGACCAAACATTGGGTTCCTAGAGCCTTTATTATGAAGAGATCTTTCTTGATTCATTAATGTTTTATAAGCATCTAATGTTAAAGTTGGAAAATCGTCAACAGAAAAAGGTACACTTGTAATAAATAAATTTTCTCTATAATATAAGTCTTTATCCAAGTAACTATTAACTGTAATTTCACTACACTTAGAGTTCTTACAAAAATCTTTTATAGAATAAAACTGGTATAATAATTTTTTATTCTTTGTGTATACAAATACTCTAGTACCATATTTTTTCATAAAATACTCTCTCTCATTTGGAGAAACAACTCTACCTAATACAGTACCAGCAGTTCTTAAAATATTATATGTCATAGGGAAATAAGATAAAAAATATTGCTCTAAAGTAATAACAGCACTAGAAGGTGCATTATAAATAACAATAATAGTCAAATGAAAATTAGCTAACCCATATTTTTTTATTGCATTAGCAATTTTAGATTTTCTTTTAGGATTGTAATTAGTATTAAAATAATCCATAAGTCTATTACTTAATTTATTGGAAGAACCCACATACCTCTTATTAGGATTTAATTTATTAGTTCAAACTCCTGAAGAATTCGATTTAGTAATATCTCTTATTTTATTTTTGTCAATTACAGGATGTTTAAAATAATAAACTTGTGAGGTAACAGGCTTACTAGGATTAATTAAGATAAAAGAACAAATTGAATAAATTTCTAATACTTCTTCAAGGGAACCCCGATAATACATAAGAACGAAAATAAAAATCAAGAGTATATTATTCCGTAAAAAGTATGCTAACTTTTTAAATAAAGTCATAAAATTAATAAACCAAAAAAATATATTTGCCGGCATGCAATTATCTTATCGTTAACTTTCGGTAACGTCCGGACTATATCTTTACCCTTATAATTTTAGGGTATTTTACGTGTAGTACTCTGAGGAACCTACTCAATAAAAGTGTTTAATGCTTAAATATAGCCCTTATATTTTTGGTTTCCTGCTGATTGCCTAATCTTTTGAAATGTTACTGCTTTCTGCCGCTTTTCATTTAAGAAAACATGCAGGACTAGTTTCAAAAGCTCTAAAGATATTCCAGCACACAGTGAAAAGAAAGTAATATATTACTACATTACCCGGCCATGCCTAGTAATAAATTACTAATAAACATTACATATTATTCAGTTTTATTGTTTAGGTAAGTAAACTTTCATTTACCTCTATAATAACCAGACTTAGTTCCCTTTAAATATTCTCTAATTACCGCACGATCTCCTTTAAGCTCCTTGGCTAAAGAACCTAAGGAACTAAATTCTTTATTTAACCTAGAATCGTCTTTAAACTCAGCTAAGATAGATTTAGATGCAGGATGTTTAACTTCATAAATCTCTCGTTTTTTTGATACAAGAGACTTAATTTCATCTAAAGTTAATAAATTAGTACTAGCACTTTCTTCAATTTGATCTAAAGAGAAGAAAAAAGTATCTAAGTATAATTTTCCATAATCTATACAATCATTGAAGGTTTTATGGTGAATATTAATTGTATTATACATATAATTTTTAGAATCGAAAACATATAATAAAGTAAAATCATTTGCGTCATATACAAAAATTGGTGTACCTCTTTGTTTCCTTAGTTGTTCTCGCATTTCTTGACTCATGGGTTCATGATATCCAGAACTACTAGCTACTAAGTCTACATTTAAATTAGGATTTAAGCTATCTATAAAATGTTGTTCTAATTCTACTATTTGTTCTAAACTAGCTGAATCTTCCATAATATATATAGTTAGTTTTAGATTAGTAAAACCGTACTTATTTAAATACCTAAGAACTCTTCGTTCTTTAGTTTTTAATATAGATGGCATAAAATATGAACATATACGGTTGTATAAATTTATAGAATGACCTACATACATATTTTTACTATCTAATGTTCCCCAAACATACACACCTTTTTGTTTTTTTGCGACTCTAGCTATAATATCTCTGTTATTATAAGGATCTTCTACTAAAACCTTAGTATATTTATGTTTTGAATTTAAAGGATCTTTTTGGTTATTTTCATTACCTATTTTTACCTCAGTATGAAACTTTTTTACCGAAGTTACTGAAAATGTATTTATTTGTTTTTTTTTGACCATAAAGAAGATCATTAATATAGCGTGTGAAGTAATTATAGAATTGTATAGCTGATTGTCAGCTATAAACTGAACACCAGGGCCAGATAGTTCTAATCTAATTAACACCGAATAGGCTGTTCCTATTAACATTTTCCTTATAACTTTTCACTTGAAACCGATTATTGGCAGTGTAAAGTATTATATTTATTTGAATAATTTGATGACCCTCCACCCTAACCCTATGTAGAGAATAAATCAAAAATTATTTCAAATAAAAAAAAGGAATGGACTTTTTCTTATTATCTTTCAATTATACTTAATTTATCATTATTCGTACATATCACAAGTTATTATTATTTATAAAAATTTTCAAGATGTTTTCAAGAGAATTCCGTTCTTTTATTATTCATAGAATTCTTTAATTGTTTAATTTCAGAAAGTCCTACTGGTTTAGTATGTATTTTAGCCATTATAATATAATATGCTTGTTCCCAATTTTGATAATCCAAATATTTAGAGCTGAATAGAGGAAATCTATTAAAATATTGAACTATGGCAAAAACTCCCTTTTTATTAGTTGTTCTAACCCTTCACATGAAACTATCAAGACCATTTTTTTCTGCAAGTAAACCTTTTTCCCCTATTTTTGTTCCACATAGCTGAGCTATTAGTAGCATAATAATATTTGAACTTTACAGGTATCTGAATTAGGATATACTTTTTCTGGCAAGACAATATTTTTTTGGTTAGGTGAACTTGAACCAGGCCTGTAACAATTGAGGAGCTAATCAAGAATTTATTTTGTTTTTGGCCTCCGGCTGAAAGTATACTGACCTTTATAAGGCTTCTGTTGATTTCTAATAAAATAATTATCAATTACTGATTTATGAATTTTTAAGGCTCTTGCAGCTTCCTTGATTGAATCATAAGAAGTAGTAGTATTATTTGTAATATCAGTAACTTCTATTTTTATACGTACGTTGGCTGAGCATCTGACATTTTTCGTTTAGTATCAAGGGACTTATTAGAACCTGTAAGAGCATCCGATATTTGTTTTTTGGTAGCATCAGAATGGCTACGACCAAACATAGAAGCACCAGCTTTTTTAGAAATATTATACTCATTATTTTCTGATGATAAATAAAAATCTTCCCTTTCAAAGCATTGCTCTGGTTCACAGTACTCAAGAATAGTAAGAGAAAAGTTTTCATAACCATTCTTTAATAGAGCACGATATATATGACTATTACTTCTTGTTAACGCATCCTCCATATAAGTTGTAGAATAATAATCCGACAGCCTATTTGACAAGTTAATAGCAGAACCTATGTACTGTTTATCATTAATAAGATTTGTTCACTTATAAATACCAGATTTATTTTTATTATCAGATAGAATTTTATCTTTATCAGCCTCAACGTTAGAATAACTTTTTATTGGAATAATAGCAGCAAGTGATAAAAGGCAACCAGAATTTAAGGAATCATAGCAGAAAAATAGTATAAGTAAATAGCCTACCACTGAAACTAAAAGTAATACAGATTCATCCTTACTTCCTTGAGATATTGTATATGTTACAGAGATATTATTATATTTAATACCTTCAGTTACTCTGATATTAAAAGATCCATCACCTTCGGTAAAACCAGAGAATCAACTATTTGAACCCAAAGGTGTAGTATTTAGAGGCATTTTATCAATAATATTTGAATTATTATATTTAGGATTAGCATTGATTCAATCAATTATTTTATGTAAAGCCTTAATTTTTGGAGTTCTGAACTCTCCATTTATTAAATTAACAATATTTACTATCCCTAATTTGTCTCTTATAACATATAGCACAGCATTTTCACTGGCAGATTGGATGGACCCCGACCCTAATCTCTCCATTAAACAATTAGCTAGTGGTCTATCTTTAATATTAAAAACTATTTTAATAGTTGGTTTACTAAGACTATTCTTAGGAATAATAATAGAACCATCTGATTCAATTAGACCTGCTAAATAGGAACCAAGTTCACTTTTATTTTCTGTTGAATTGTTTGTAGACATTCATTTCCCTCCAAACAAAAAGGAGGGTTTGTAGCATGAGAACACTTTTTTTGAATATAATGTACAAAATAATACATTTAATTGTAAATTGTTATCCATAAACAATTGAAAACAGCTTGTGTATAAATCAGCAGAGAAATACTTTGAACAAAGAAATAAAAATAAAAAACTCTGGAAATTTTTCGCATCCCATACAATAAAAATTTTAAAAAACTTAAATAACATTTTATTAATAGAATTAAGTTTTCACAAAAGAATTAAAGATAATTCATGCGTAAAGTCTCTGAGATTCCCATAAAAAAAAATATGGTTATCTGCTCATAAATCCTTAAAATTATTTCTTGTTTTACGTAGCATGGAGAAAATATTCTGCTTATATTCAAAAGATAATAAAATTAAAAGACCTTCCAAGCATATAGCATGATATGATTCAGGCTTAACTAGAATTAAACCTGAAAATAAGGCAAAAATAAGATATAATGTTCCTATATCTTTGGCATTACAAGATAAAAACCATCGTTCTGTTCACATAGAAATATTCCTCACGAATAGGTTTGTTGTTTTACTCTTTAGTAATAATTTATTTATTGAATTTTGGCCTTTTTGTATTTCCTATTTCCTTAGTATCCCCATTTAAATTAAACTTTATTTATTATGGGAGCTTAAATAAGCGCCCCCCGGGAATAAGTACAAAAACAACTAAAAAAAAAACTAAAAAAAAAAAAATTATAAATTATTTTATTTATTATTTACTGTTAGTAGTACCGCCCTTCGTATTTAATATGTTTATATATATTAACTGTAGAAAAGTAAATAATCTGTATTTAAAAAGATCCTGGCTCAATACTTAATTTAATTTGTATTACAAATAAACTAAGACCCCGTTATTAGAAGGAGGAAAAGACAGACGAGTTTTAATAAGACTGCGCTAATAAAATAATTAAAATTCAGAAGACCACATGTCACCCATACATAAATGGTGGCGCTTAGATATGTCCCCCCCCCGAAAGGACTTACAATGTTTTGTTAAATTTCATATTATAATGTGATTTTTTTATGATAAAACGTAGCGGAGCTAAGGAGACTAAATTTTTTCAATTCACCTAATTTTATCGAATAATACTAATCTTAAAAAACGTAAAGATAGCTAACTATTTTAAAACGACTTTATATGTAATAATATACTTTAGATTTTTTTTTATATTACTTTACTTTTTTGGTTTATTAAAAGTATAAACATATAAAAGAACGGACAGAGACAATATCGAAGAAAGTCAATAAGGATTAATATTTAGACTTTGTACTGACTTTAAGTTTTTGGTTTAGCCGGGAGAGAAATTTGAATTCCCATTATTAATGCATGAAATTAACGTTCTAACCTATTTGAACTACCCCAGCATTGAAATAATTTTTTTACATACATAATATAAGTTTAGTGATATCATTCGCCCAGCTTCTATATTTTTTATTAAGTCGCTTTTTGTTAAATGTACCAAGAATGCGAAACTTACAAAAAAACAAAAGCCGAGAATGTAAATCAGCGACATTTGAATTATACACCTAAAAGCATATAACTTTAGCTCATTAACTTAAGTTAAACTAGACATTAAAAATATTACCCCTATTAATTAATAAGTATTATAAAATTGTAAATTATTATCCCATATTATTCTTAGATTTTTCTAAAAAACTATTTGCATAATTGGTTAAAAAGAATAACTTTTTCTTTCCTGTTGCTACCATTGGTTCTTGTAAACGTCTAGGATAATATGCAATTAATGATAATATCATAGCTCCATGATTATTTAGATCATGGTCAAAACTAAATATTTGGGAGAATAGAAATAAACCGTCATAGTATCTATTCTTGTACTTGATAAGATAATCTCTAAATTATTATAATATATAAATACAGAATATAACAGCGTAAGAAAAGCTACCCAGCTAAATAAATTATAATCTCACCTAAAGTGGCCGCATTAAAAAATAACATTCGTCTGGAGTCGAACAAGAACCAGAAGAAATTCACTTAAGATTTAATTTATAAATGATATTTCCTAGTACCTATTCCGAAGGTTTAAATAATGAATAAAAATATTGATTTGATTAAGTGCCTTTATCAATCAACTAAATCTATTACAGATCTAGCCTAATTTAGGTTTAAGGTTTTCCTTTCTAAATTTTTTTTTTTTTTTTTCTTATAGGATTAAAAATCAGTTTTTTTAATGAATACGGAGCCCCAAAACTTCTTTTTAAAACCGCGCGCGCTGTGCTACACCTATATAATATGTGATTAAACGAGAATGAGTACGATCGTAAAGTACTGCTCCTACACATATGAAAAGTCCTAAACTCACAAATCCGTGACCTAGACCTAGAAATATAGCTCCTTCGATTCCTTGGATTGTGTTACTGAAAACTTCTAGTATATATACTGCTGCATGTGCAACTGATGAATAAGCTATTAACTCTTTTATATCTACGGTACGAAAAGTGTTAAGACTAGCATAAATAATAGTTATTACGCAGATTACATATGTTAATGGAGTAAAGTATAAAGATGCTAAGGAAGTATAGGTAAAATTAATCTAAATATTCCATATAAACTCAATTTTTAAATAATCACTGCAAGGATTACACTACCCTCTACATGAGCTTTTAGTAATCAACTATTAACAAAAAAAAAAAAAAATAGTAGGTGTTTTTACAGCGAATGTAAATAATATTCCAGCAAATAAGTAATATTGTGTTGTACTGTTAAAGTTTGCCTTGAATAGCGCATCAAAATCAGTAGTTCCCATTAAAGAAGATATTGTTAATATAGCCAATAATAAGAACAAAGATTATAAGAATGTATATAAAAATCAATATAAACTAGCTCTTACTTTATTATCAGATCCAAATAATACTATTAATAAAAATAAATAAAGGCACCTTATAATATTATCTTAAATTATTCTATTCAGCAGAGTCCTCACCAAATATTCTTTTTGAATTCATACCTGCCTTTATTTTTTGTATCTCTATAAGTCCGTCTTCAGTTAAATGACGCCCTTTTACCATTAAGTCTGCTACTTTACACCAATCCTTGAAATCTGAAGCCTTTACCCCTTCAATAGAACAATTATTAATTAAAGGAATAATAATATCGGATAATACGGTCACAGTAAGTTGTCCTGATTTTTCTTTGTATTAATATATAATGTACCACAACCTAAATAGGCGATTCTCTCTTTCAATAGAAAAATTTCACGATCTGATAAGCCTATCATAAACCTAAGTGTAAGTTTTATCCCTAATTTAGATTTAACTTTGTTAACAGCCACGTAAAAACAACTTCCGCGTTTATAAATCCTGCAAGTCATTTATGAATCATTAACTTTAAAGGATTAAAAGTAAAAACTGCTTCGGCTAGGACTATACCTCGATAATTCTGAAGAAAATCCTTTATTTATAGCAGCTTTAATGAACAAAAGCTTATTAAATCCTACCTCCGATAAATGTTGTTTTTTTAATATTAAGTTATAAGCCTATTTGAAAAGATTAAAGTCCGTAGATTTAAAAGACAACAAGGGATATTTTGTAAAATGATTAATTATTATAACTAAATCTTTAATAGATAATAGTTATAAGAAACCATAGAATCTTCATGAACGTATATTTTTCCAACTCCACAAAATTTATGTATTCTTTGTAGGATAATAATGTCTTTTGCGTGTACACCTATTTTAAAAGAAAGATTTGAATAATATTTACCCAAGTCTTTCACAAAATTAATTGAAAACCCACCATCAGAGTTGAACCAAGAATTTATATCCGTAAAAAGTTTATAGTTTAATTAATAAATGCCCTATTTGCCAACTTACTTGTACAAGAAGACTTTAACAACGCTCCTCGGTTTTCTGGATAAACCCGAATCCTAATTTCGCTAATGATAATATGAGTTAGGTTTACTATTAAGTAAACCCTTTTAT